CTGTTACGTCACTTACTGTCTCTTGGGCTTTGTCATTTCTCTCACATGGGAGCCCCTGTGCTCGGTGCTGTTGGGATCCTTGGATTGTATCACTTTGAGGAGATTTCTTCTTTTCTGAGTTTTCATTTTCTTATTTGTTCCTTTTTGAGGGGTAGGCCTTAATTTGCCCATTTTATCCTATCCCTTCCTCTGTGTTTTGTTTTTAAAGCTATACCTAAACTTCAAAGAAACGGAGTCTTAAATGCATGTGGATTATCAAATGGAAACCTGATTTGCTCTGTAAACCTGCACTCACTGGTATTTCTAACAAGCAGAGGGTGAGGAGGTCCTTCCTGAAAACTCTGGGCAACACAGCTGGGGAAAAGCCAGCTCCGAGTCACCCACTCACAGCCCAGCCCCAGGACAGGTGGTGGCCTTGAGTGATGGAGACAGCGGTCAGCCTTCCCTGGTTTCAAGTTCTCTGCCTCCCATTCCAGGCGGGCAAGGATGGCAGGTGTGCCTTCTTCATGTTTAACCACACACTGTCCCTGTCTTTTGTCACAGACTGGGGCCACAGTTCTCCTGTTGGCATTCAGCCGGGTGGCTGTGGCAGGCTTCTCCTTTCTCACCCAGACGTGCTGCTCCCGCCTTTGCCCAGGTCTCATCTGGAAGCTTATCAGAGTTCCTGGTTTCTGTCAAGATGGAGTTTTCTTCTGTATTGGGCATTGTTTTCATTGCTTTGCGGTCATTTCAGAAAGAAGGGATCAAGGACATCAACTAGGAATGAACGTTTTCTGTTAGGACAGATTCAGGCATTTCCCTCTGAGCCACTTGTCCTTGTTGTCATCTCTAAGCATGTGTTCCAGGGCCAGAGACAAAACCACGTGCTGACGGGGCCTCTGGGGTGTTTTCCCTGGAGACGCCCAGTCTCCCTGGATAAGCAGAACCTCCTGCTAATCCTGCGGAAGTTGATAACAGTTGAGACTTCCTCACAGTAATGGTCAGGCAGGGGGTTATATTTAGATTTCAATTTTTTTGTGCTAATTTTTAATCTTTAAGCATTTTGAAATCTGTGGAGGAATATGGCAACCCTGACTGTACTGGGAATTGTTACCAGTGCCTACAAGTTGAGAGAAATGGAGTCCTCAGATTCTTGGTATAGAAACAGGTCTACAGCAGGATTCAGGGAGTGTGCACGATTTCGCTGAGATGAGGTTTTCAGCTGCCTTGGGACGACTCCCTGTGGTCAGGCTGAACTTCTCTGAGAACTCCCAGGCTCAGGTTTTACCTCCTGAAAAGCACTGAGTACCAGAGAGTGTGGCCATTCTGCCCCTTCCTCCAAGAACAGAGTCCAGGTGCGGTTTTGGTGAATGGTCCGTGGGTGCCACCTCTCCTAGAGGTTAAAGTGCATCTTCTTCTTGGGTAACACCACTGTTACACTGTCCCTCAGGCCCATTAGAGCTGGTAGGAAACTGGCATCTTCACCAGGCAGCATCTGTGTATACAGCATCTTCTCTGTCTCCATCAGCGTCATGACCTGAGCCTGGTGTGCAGAAACCCATCAACGCCCGCCTCAGACCTGAAGTTCACAACTTACCATCCCACCAGGCTTTAGATTCCTGCCAGAAACCAAACCTGCTGTGGAGGCAATTCTGACTTCGCGACTCTGTTATATATATATGATTGTTCTTGTGATGTGCCATAGAGTAGGTTCCGACTCATAGCGACCCTGTACAGGGTTTCCAAGGCTGTAAATCTTTATGGGAGCAGAAAGCTTCATCTTTCTCCCATGGAACAGCTGGTAGTTTCGAACTGCTGACCTTGAGATTACCAGCCTGATTTATAACCACTGCACTACCAGAGCTCATTATATGGCTATAGGGTTATATAGCTGGCTATAGGGTTATATATTGGGGTTTTTATACATAGGGTTTCTCTGCTATTCATAATGCTTTCAGTGACAAAATCTTCGGAAGTAGTTCGTCACTCTTTCTTCCTAGTCTGACTTCATCTGGAAGCTCATCTGAAACCTGTCCACTGTGTGTGACCCTGCTGGTATTTAAAATACCGGTGGCATAGCTTTCAGAATCACTACATCTCACAAACCACCACAGTGTTGGAGAATATTGAAAGTGCCATGGGCTGCCAAAAGAACCAATAGATCCGTTTTGGAAGAAGTGCAGCCAGAGTGGTCCTTGGAGACCAAGATGGTGAAACTTCATCTCTCATACTTTGGACATATTGTCAAGAGGGACCAGTCACTGGAGAAGGATATCATGTTTGGTAAAGTGAAGGGTCAGAGGAAAAGAGGAAGACCCCCAATAAGATGGATTGACCAGTGGCAGAATCTATGGACTGAAGCATGGCAAAGTAGTGATGTTGGCCCAGGATTGGGCAGTGTTTCATTCTGCTGTGCATAAGAGGTCGCTATGGTTCGGTACCGACTCAATGGTGCCTAACAACAACATAAGCGTAAATTGGGAATGTCCCAGGCAAACCAGAATGAATGGCCAGTCTAATCACCTTGTGTAGGGTCCATGATAAATCCAAGCTCATTGTGATAGATTGGAATTTGTATCTTACCTCCTCTCCAGTATTCCCATAAGAACCTGACGTAATCTTTAATGGCAAAGCTGGATACTTTATTCATGGCTGGCAAAGCTGGATACTTTATTCATGGCTGGCAACAAAAATGAACATCATTTAGTAATGAGTTATTTAATAATCCCCTACAGTCTTCCAATTTTACGGACCTGCGGCGTGTTCATTTCCACATACCCTGCTAGCATCTTGGTGTTGGTTTTCTGCTCTCCTTTAGGAAGCACTGCCTAGTTTATTACCGCCCTAGGTTGGTTGGCCCTTTTAGATGGCAAATCCACTTAACTGATTTTAGGAGCCACAGCTAATGTCTACCCTGCGCATACTGCATGCCTGTGCTGTGCAGGTATTTAATGCTCACCTCAACCCCGGTGGGGGGCAGGGGGTCAACCCGTCTCAGCCAAAGCAGGAAAAGAACTTGCATGTCATGTGTGTCCACAGAACGCAGAAGGATCGAGCCAGGCTGAAAATACAAAGAGCCCAACATCATCAGTGCCCTGCCCTCAGAGAACACCGCGCCTCACTTCTCAACATGGTTAGGTTCCAAAGACCAGCTGGTTCCATGTAAATCAGCCAATGTGCCCACACTGTTACGTAACTGCCCTAACCATGGCCCACCCAGCCAAGTTGACACCCAACCTTCCCCACCACAGTGAGTGGTACTGGTCATTTACTTCAGTGTTTGCCGCAACCATACTTTGTAGCTAATGCACAAAATAGAGATGTTTTGCTCTTGGCATTAGTACAGGATGTGACAAGATAGTTAATAAAATAATTGAGGAACAGGGGTATGTGGTCTTTGTTCCTAGGTAAGCAATCTTTCTATTTTCTATTCTAAAGCTTGTTAATGTTTTACGAAAACGGGTGGAGAAATGTAACTTCCAACTCTTTCTCTGGTTCTGAGCTCTTTTCTGTCTTTGTGTGCTCACTGTTCCTTCCACCTCGGCTGTTTAACATACAGCCATTGTTGACCAACTTTGGGCTGACTTCCTTTGCTTTATAAACATATGTACAGTGGTGAGTAGATGGTTGTGTTCTTTCAACTAAGTTCCAGTTGCTGAAGCAATAAATGCGAGGTTGGTGGACAAGTGCTTTGAGAAATTCAACTCCAGTGTTCTTACATGGCCTGAGTGTTGGTGGATATATGGACTGTGGAATCCTAGGGTTATGGATTAGATTTCTTTGCTTAGTAGGATGCTCTCTCTGTCCCTTGAGGTTTCTGCAGATCCATGAATTGCAAACGCTTCTGGTCTCCAAGGAATCCATCACTGTGCCCAATGCGCCTGTGGTCTTTCCTCTCGTGCACAGCCAAGGAAGACAGCCATGAAAAGAAGTGATGGGTGCTTTTACTAGTCTGCTGCTTGCTGCTGTTCTCATGTTCCCACGAAATGACAAAAGGGCACACTGATGTCATTGCTATTATTTACGTGCTTAGAGCTTCCTAGACAGGGGAACTTCAGAAAGTTTGTGGAGGAAATGGCATTAAAGGTAGTGAAATTTTTCCACAAACTTTTTGAAGTCCTCATGTACATTATTTTAACTCAATAGTCTTAACTCTGAGCTATTGTCCCTGCCCCCCACCACCACTGCTACAGTAGTGGTGACTCCATAAGATAAACATTGGACTGTGAACCCCAAGGTTCACGGTTCAAGCCCACCAGCTTCTGTTATTAAGTGCCATCGAGTCGGTTCCAGCTCATAGAGACCCGTGAGTTTGAACCACCGATCTAGCGTATTAATCTACAGTGCCCCATCAGGACTCCTAACAACTTCTAAGGTGGGGGAAATTGAGTTTCAGAGACATCAAGTGTCCATCTTTGGATAAAACCCAGCATCAGACAGCAGCCCCACCTCCTTCCATTCTGGCCTCTGGTCAAGGCAGTCCTTCCCTGTCCTCTTCTGTAGACGGCTCTGTTTCCTCAGTGATACTCTGGGTGTCGTTTTCCTGGTGAGTGTGTGATTCTTTGATTTCATTATTAGAAAATAATTTGACTGACATTTCAGTGCCTTTGATAGAGCCACCTATGCCCACTCTTCCTGGAGAGGTGAGGATTTCCCCTGGGGAGCCAGGTGGGGGTTAAAGCCAATTCTGACTCTTGGCCACCTGCTCTGATGCCTCCAGAGTAGATGAGTTCTGTTACGGTGATTCTGGAGACGTTGCCATACGGTGTGACCTGCAGGGGCTGGGAAACCCCAACAGAAAGTGGACAGAGAGGTCTGTGAACTGGGCTCAGAAGGCCTACCTTCATCACTGCAGGTGAGATGTTCAAAATTTCAAGTCACACAGGGGGCTCTGCATCCGATGCATGGAGAGAAGACACTAGCTCAGGGAAGAAATCCACTGCCCGGCAAGGCACCCTTCACCACCCACTGCTTTTCAGGGCTCTGGGGCTGACCACACAGTGTCCTGTGGTTTATTACAGGGAACTCAGAAGCCACATCCTCCTCAGAAGCCTTTGCCAGCAGATCCTTTGAGCAAGACCACTCGGCTCACCAACACCTCCTCAGGGAGGACCCCAGGACAGCCAGAGGCCGGGTTACGCCTGGCTCCTCTGAGGTTGGTATGACAGGGCTGCGCCCACCTAATTCACCCTCAACTGTTTTAGGTCAGCTGGCCCAACCCACACTTTTCACTCCATGTCACACATGCTCCCCAAATGCCCCACACAGGGACGAGTATAAAACAGGTGCGATTTCACTTCCACAATGTCTCTAAGTTGCTCTTTGTGATGTAGAACCTGAGATGTCCAATTAGTTCCTGTGTCCCAGGAAACTGGCTGGTGATTTGGCCCTGTCCCCCAAAGCAGGGAGGTGGTGAAGCTAGCTGGGGCTGCAATATAGGAGGTGGTTGCTGAGTTGGAATTGACTCAACAGCACTGAGTTTGATTGTGATCTCCACCTCCAAGAATCTCACATAGGACCAGGGGGCCCTGTAGCATATTCCTGGGATCCCACAAACTTTGGTGGGAGTTAATTACTGATAGCAAGAGCCCTGGTTTAACCAGGATCATCCCTCGGTAATGGGACCCCGTGTGGGGAGAATAGAACTGCTCCCCTCCAGGCTTCTCTAGGCTGGGACTGATCATAAACAGTTTGCCTGTCTTCTGTGATGGCTCCAGGTGGATTTGAACTGACAACCTTTTGATTGGTCACGGGTATGAACATTGTACCACCCAGGGCTCCCACCCCACCAACAAAAGGGACCCCCACTAGAGCCCCCTACCCCCCGCCATGGGTAGCTCTTCCACTACATCTCATCGCCTCCAGCTGACTTATGCAGGGGGTCCCCCGACCCTCTGATGGGCTGTGAGATCCCAGCTTTGGCAGGATGCTTGTAAAATGAGCCAAGGAGGCCCAAAAGGCATTGTGCTGGCCAGACTCTGGGCTCTACGAGTTGGCGTCTGAGAATGAAGACACCCTTTAGTGGTTTCATTACAGCGCCTGAGAAGAATGTGTGGCCTGCAACAGAAACGAGTGTCTAATAAATCTCACAGATAAAGCGGGTCACAGGGTCTGGGCTCTGATGGAACTCCCGGCTGTGCAGATGCAGAACGACTGTTGAGCATCCATATTCTCTCACTGTGGTTTTACATGCTCATCTGGACATTGCTTTCCTTGTTGTAGCTGAAAGGAAAAACGACAAAAAAAATTAAAAAACCACTACTTCCCACGAGTAGGGTGAGCCCCCTTCCAGGGGAGTAGTCATCCCAAGTATTGAACAAGAAGAACACACTGGATTTTAAAGGCTTGGTAGCAAGAAAAAAAAAAGGCATCTCCTTAAGAATTTTCATACTGTGTACAAGTTGAAATGTTTATCATTTGAAACTTTGGGTTAAATGAGAGAGATGTATTTTGAAATTTCATTTTACTCTTTGTGTGTGTTGTTGTTGCTAAGTGTCATTGAGTAGGTTCTGACTCATAGTGACCCTGTATCTTTATGGAAGCAGAAAGCCTCTTTTCTCCCACGGAGCAGCTAGTGGGCTTGACCTTCCGGCCTTGTGGTTTGAAGTCCATTGCTTATCCTTTAGAGCCGCGCGCTGTCTTATGAGATATTATGAAATGACCCCACCATTGGCTGCCTTGCTGTTCTGCTGACACAGCTGCTCTAAAGGGAACTTGGGAGGGGGAGCTTCGGAAAGGGCACCCCCAGCCTGGAACACAGCAGTTAAGTATTCACCTGCTGACTGAAAGGTGGGTACAGTTCAGACCCACCCAGCAGCTCTGCAGTAGGAAGACCCATACCATAATGATTTCAAACCCAACCCTCTGTCAGCAAGCCAATTCCAATTCCAATTCCTTACAACCCTATAGAGTTTCCCAGACTGCCCATCGTCTTCATCCCCCAGAATGGCTGGTGGGTTTGAACTTCCAACCTTTCAGATAGCAGACCACCACCTAACCCACCATGCCACCGGGCTCACAGCCTAGAACAACCCTATGGAGCAGAGCTCTACTACGCTCTGTTGCCAACACGACGGCGGTCCGTTCGTCCTTAACTATCAGCTAGCTCTCAGCAGTCGCTCAAGGAGATCTGGCCACAGCGAGGCCAACAGCAGGTGTGGCCAGCCAGACATCCCAGCTCCCCCTCCTTGTGCCTAGACTTCGATTCCAAGGCGTCTAACTACCATCTTGCTTTCTCTTCTCCTGACTCAGACCTGCCCCTAAACAGCCCCACCCGGTGCCCAGAGCTGCCCAGACCCAGTGACAAAGAAGCCGGCCGACCCCCTTTGTCCACCATTGAAGACAGGAAGTGTGTGCTGTCCTTCAGTTCTGGTTGAGAGTTACTTTTGTACCAACGTTTAGGATTGTTAACGTCTCCATCACACTTTAAGGAGTCTTGTGCTCCTGCCGTTGGTGCGGTGCTGTGGTGCTCTGTATTCTTGCTCAGGTACTTGTAAATTATTAATTTATGCTGAATGTTTACTGCAGTGCGGGCCGCTGTGGCGGACTTCATTACCACCCCCGAGTTTCCCACGGAAGGAAGGCTCGCTGGGCTTTTTGTAGTTTTATGCACTTGAACAGCCTGTGTGCTTGGTTTCCTATCAAGTCCTTCACGGGAGAGTTGATGTTTCACAGTGGCCCGCCCATAGTTGGGATTCCCTGAAGAACATGCTAGAACCCCTTTTTTCTCAGGCCAGAGCCAAGGGCTCTGGTTTGCAGACAAGAGTGCGAGGGTGCGACCATCCACGGGCAGAAACGGGGGCCTGGAGACCAGAGGCCAAGGCTCATGCTGACTAGCAATGAGCACATCTGGAGAGAGGTACGAAGAGATGTGTGGGGTCCCCGCTCCAGGTGTACTCGTTCCTAATCCCAACAAGTTCTTTTCCTGGTTTCCCTAACAGAGGGCTGATCTCAGCACAGGATGGTGATGGGAACCTGGTGTGTCTATTGGCACTGCAACCCCACCCCCACCCCACCTCCTTGTAATGAATGACCCTGGATTCACACCAACAGAGGCGGCTTCCCAGGGGGCCATCTGTTGATTCAGAGGGGGACCAGTTACCATTCAACTCCAGAGATACAAGTCTCCTTTGCCTGCAAGGTTCTGCTTATTAAAAGTTTGGCAGAATCTTCAACACAACCTCTGAAGATATCTGTTAGGACCCTTGTGGCCTACCTGTTGAGCATCACACTGTGGCAAGCAAATCAATTTGCTGATCCTAAATATTCATGAAGTTGCAGGTAGGGGCTGCAGCCTCTTCAACCTTTTTCACTTCAAATGTCTGTCTGAATGGGGAGCCATTTTCACAAGGCCTTCTTTTAAGAAACCTGTCTCTACTGACTTGAACAATTCAAAGTACTCAGACCAGGTAAAATACCATTCTGCCTCTGTCTTCCAGTGGGGTCATGTGTAAGTGGTTTCCACATTTTTCGGTGACCAACAATAGTTCCATAATTGACTCCAAGTCTTTTTATGACAAAGTCTGCACTGGAGATTATTTTGAAGCAGACAGGAGGGAGGTGGGAAATTTAACAAGAACCTTGGTGGTCCCTCCAGAAAACAATACTGCATTTAACCTCACCACCCCCGCTGTATCTTGGCAGCAGCATCTCCATGATCCTGGATAAACTAAAACCCACATCACACACACAAAAGGGAAGGCAGCTGTAATACATTCCAAGTGTTATAGTGTGCCTGCATCTGTTTATTACGTAATTACTAATTTTTTTAAAAATGTTTAGAAAAGCCATGTTTTAAAAAAATGAAAAAGTATATATCATTGCTGATGTGACATGTATAGAATCACTATAACTGGTAGTACATTTGGTAATTGTGTTAAGGCCAAAGCTGATATTCTTGAAAAGGTTTACAGAATTTTTATGGTATATTACACAGATACTGTTTTTATAGATGCTCAAATCCTTAGATCCGAGTTCCAGCGGATGTGAACCTTCTGCCCTTTTCTTCCCTATAGTTTTCTCTGCTTCTCTTTCCAAGAACTAGGGACAGTTTGATATTTGAGGCCCCTGATGCTGAGTTGATGACTCATCCCTGTCACCACAGTGCTAATTGTTGGTGTGGAGCCAGCTCTTTCTGGATTAGAGCCTGTTTGAATCCCACGTGCCCTTACTTACAATGCTCAAATCATGATTCAAGGAACAGTGCTTCCGAGGGGCAAGATTTATCAAAACAGAGCCTAGTCAGCAATAACTTTCATTTTCATGCAATTTAGGAATAAAACCAATCAACAGGCTTTTGTTTGGGGGGGGAGGGAGTTATTCCTCTTTTTCAAGTAGCCTTGGTGGTAGAGTAGATTAGGCCTGGGACTGCTAACCACAAAATTGGTGGTTCAAGCCCACCAGCCCCTCTGCAAGAGAAAGATGAGACTGTGCTCCTGTAAAGATTGGGTCTTTGAAACCTTAGGGAGCAATTCTGCTCCGTCCTGTGGGTCACTAGCAGTCTGAAGGACAGTGGGCACTTCCCTTTCTCTAGCCTATCATTTTAGTCCAGTCTCTTCCTTGGTATTTTGCAGATTTGACAGGCATAAGTGAGATCATAGGAGTGTTGTAGGACCACCACTGAGTAAAGTGATGTTCCCTAGCCACAAAGCACATCCTCAGATTAGTTCCTTTGCTCCCCAATTCCAACAAGAGACTCGGGTTATAGGAACCCCCTTTACTGGGAAGTTTATGACTAATCTTCTAAGCATTCTCTGTAAGAAGTTTTATCTCCAGCACTGTTTGGTAACTGTTTTCCCTGACAAGTGGATCACATTTTCCATTGTTGAGGAATGCGCATGGAGGCTGCAAGCTTGCAGCAATGCGTGGGGGATGAGCTCACCCCGGACGGAATTTCTGCGTGCCTTCCTAAACTTTATGAAGACTTCTCAAGAGGGAACGGTCGGCTCTTGTTCTCTGGCTGTCCATGAAACGCCAAGGCCTTCCGTGAATGATACTTCTCTGGTCCGTGTTAGGATCTTGTCTTGGGAGCCAGTAGTCTCCCGTGGTGCTAGAAGGACCTACCTGGGGGGGTGGGGGTCGGCCACCTCCCAGTGATGTTTACACCAAGCACACTGAGCCAGCAGGCCGGAGCATCCTCCTTCACCTGACTCTAAGGCTTGTTTCCGTTGAAACTTGTGCTGTGCAAGGCACTCTGGGAACAGGAAGCTCGTCTGCTCCTAGAAGGCCCTTCCTCACTGCCCTGCAAATGGCCCCGAGATCTGGCTCTCTGGGCTGTGAATTGGCTGGGGAGAAAACTCCAAGTACCAGCTTGTCTCCTCCCTGCTCCCCCAGCCAAGATTCCTCCCAGCTGGCATCTCGCAGGCCCATCCATACAGCAGGAAGCCAGAGGTCATCATCACCCAGATCATAGCACCCCAATATGGTCACCGTCTGAACCAACTCAACAGCAACTAACCACGGCCACATACAGGCTTACCTGCTTTAGCGTATTTCACTTCATTGTGCTTTACAGGTGTTGGGGGTTGTTTTTTGGTTTGGGTGGGGTTTTTTTGTTTTGTTTTTTTACAAGTTGAAGATTTGTGGCAACCTGGCATCCAGCAAGTCTCTCCGCACCCATTTTCCAACAGCCCGTGCTCACTTCGTGTCTCTGACACATTTAGTAATTCTCACATAGTATCTCCAACTTTTTCATAACGCTACTGCACACATCAAGGGCCACGGTCCCATGTAAACACAACTGCTATACACACTCAAAAACCAACAATTGTGTCTGACTTGCTTTATTGTGGGGGCCTGGGGCTGCTCCTGCCACAGCCCCGAGGTCTGCCTACAGCGTCCCAGGCCACACCCAGACACTTATCCAACAACCAGGTCCTTGCAGTCAGAGCTCCTCCACGTCAACCACAGTGAACAGTGCTGCCGCACAGGTGCCCATGCACAGCAGCCTCATAGCCAGTCGAACCCACAGGTCCTTCCAGTGACCACCTGCCTAAGTTCTTGTTCTAACAGGGGAGCCAGCCATAGACAACCAATGCATCTCTGATGGCACAATCCTCACAACTCACTCTGAAAGACCCTACCAACATCTCTTTCTTTCAACTGTATTTGAAACCTCTGTCAAGAGTGAGGAGACGAACCAATAGAGAGCGGTTCCACCTGCTCAAAGTCAGGTCTACACAGCAAGAAAGCTGCCTGTATCCCATCAGTTTCCCTGCGTTTCATGAAGACATTTCTTCCCTTTTCTTTTGGGCCATCAATGGTAGCTATGGTCCAGCCATGAAGTGTTTCCCATGAGCGGAACCAGAAAGAGAAACGAAGTGATTCACTCATGGGTGGGGGTGGGGGTCACAAGGCTGAGCACACACAATCTCAATTTGATGCGACTCGCCTCGTCCAGGTTGGATAGCCTGAGTTGCAGTTGACTTAAGGACACCCGACCACAACAAAGCCAGACAGAATGGCATAGGCTGACTTCCGGTTCCCGGCTTTTATACAGGTACTTGCAGTGGAACAAAGGGGGTGGGGGCTCACAATAGGAAGACAAACCCTCTAGGATTCCAAGGCAGAGCAGGGCTACCTCCTCTTCCCTTGTCCCAGGTCAGCTGACACGCTGGAGGGAAGGCCCATTGCTTGACTGTGTGGCAATTCTTAACTTGAGCTCTTTACAGCTGACCTACGGCCAACTCGGCACCACGCAATCACGTTCACAGCAATCGAAACCAGCACAGTAACTTGATAGTGCTTCAACCATTTATACGGCTTTGGTTTGCTAATTTTTTTCACATACCTTTTTATGTTACCGCCTGTTCCTTTTGTACACGTTTCTTGTATCAGGGTTCTGCAGGTAAACGCCACCTGAAACAGTCATTGTTAAGAATATTATATCCAATAAATGGTATACAATGAGGAACAAGACTTGTGGCATTCATTACTGAGACTGTTACACAGTATTTTTTTTTTTAAGTTCCTATTCTCAGTCATCAAACTTTTGTAAGAAGCTAAGAGGAATAGTTAGCAGGGAAGGGGGAGGTGCTGTTAATCCAACGTCAAGTAGGGATCCAGGAAGGAAGAGATGACACCTTTGCACACACACACACACGAAGAAAAAGAAACTGAGGAAATATCAATGTCTACACAAACCTACCCAACAAATTAAATTTAAAAGTTCACCTTGTTTACGCTAAGAGAAATTCAAAAGGACAGCAAGCAGGGATGGAGACATTAACTTTCTACTGAAAAAGAGTTTATCCAGAATGAACATGAGGCTAATGGGTATCTGTTTACAAATAAAATATAGCATGCTACTTCATAAGGAAGGACCAGCAGGAAATACCAAGAAGAAATGCACGAGATGTTACCACTCTCCACCCACGACTGCGCGTAGCTAGAAAATTCATACACAAAGACCTCTCCACGTTGTTAGGAAGGTAGCTCAGATAGGCATGTGCCATACAAGAACCCCAAACACACAGAATGAACCTCAAAGTGTATATTAACAAGTCCTCTAACTATAATACATGAAAACTACAAAGACAAGCCTCTGCCCTGGAAAGGTCATGATTCCTGCGTCTGAGATGAACTAAGGATCACGTCGGGAATGTTCTTGTGTTGTCTCACACTGACCCGACCCTGTGGGTTGCTAACCACAAGGTCAGCAGTTCAAATCTACCTACCAGTGGTTCTGTGGGAGAAAGATGAGGCTTTCTGCGCCCGTAAAGATTTACAGCCATGGAAATTCTATATAGGGTCACTATGAGTCAGAACCAACTCAACGGTACACAACCAAGCCTTAAGGGGAGCAGAAAGCCTCATCTTCCAAAGACTATGAATCTTTTCCAAAGCAGAAAGTCGTGTCTTCCTCTCAGGGAGCTGCTGGTGGATTTGAACTGCCGATCTTGGGGTTAGCAGCCCAACATGTAACCCACTTCTGTTAACACAACCCACGGCAGTGTTTCCCACAGTCCTTGCATTGAGAGACTGCATCTGGGATGCCCGTTAAAATCCAAAGGTCACCTCCCCTCTGTGAAATTGCAATTCAGAGAATCTGAGACGGAACCTTGAAATGTAACAACTACCTCAATAACTGGGGCTTGGCGTCAGGTAAGTTTAGTTATAGTTCCGCAGGACATTTTCAAAAGCAGTGCCGAGGGGAAACTCACAGTCCTAACTGCACACGTTAGGAGTGCTGGCATGGCGCTGCAGAACAAGTACTACATCTCAAGGTGGTAGTTCAGACCCACCAGCCGCTCCTCAGAAACCCTATACAGGGTCACTATGAGCGGGAACAGACTCCACGGCATTTAACACATAACATGAGAAGTCCCGGTGTGGCACTGCAGAATAAAGTACTGGACTTTCCAGCCACAATGTTGGCAACTCAAACCCACCAAACACTTCTCAGAAACCCTAAACAGGCTCCATTTGAGTCAGAAACAACTTAATGGCACTTAACAACACAAGTACAAAGCTTAATGAAAAGATTAAAGCGAGCGCCATGTCCAGCACAAGAAGTTAACAGAAGAAAAATTGAACCTAAGGAAAATGGAAGGGAAGAATTGAATTAGGAAAGAATGAAACTAGCAACTGCTTCTTTGGAAAAATTATGCCGTGAGAGAAATCACTATCTTGGTGGAACAGTAGGTTAAGTGTTGGGCTGCTAACCACAAAGTCAACAGTTCAAACTTACCAACCAGCCACTCCATGGGAGAAAGATGAGGCTGTCTGGTTCTGTAAGTTGTTAGGTACCATCGAGTCAGTACCGACTCATAGCGACCTTATGCCCAGCAGAATGAAACACTGCCCGGTCCTGGGCCACCTTCACTATTGTTACCACGCTTGAGTCCATTGATGCTGCCACTTGGCCAATCCTTCTCATTGGGGGTCTTCCTCTTTTTCTCTGATCCTCCACCTTACCAAACATGATATCCTTCTCCAGCGACTGGGCCTTCCTGACAATATGTCCAAAGGATGAAAGATGAAGTTTGGCCATCCTGGCCTCCAAGGAGCACTCTGGCTGCACTTCTTCCAACACAGATCTGTTGGTTCTTTTGGCAGCCCATGACACTCTCAATATTCTCCTCCAACACCATAACTCAAAAGCATCAATTCTTCTATGGTCTTCCTTATTCCCTGTCCAGCTTTCACATGCACATGAGATCATTGAAAATACTATGGCTTGGGTCAGGCGCACCTTAGTCCTCAAGCTGTCATCTTTGCTCTTCAACACTTTAAAAAGGTCTTGTCCAGCAGATTTGCCTAATGCAATGCACATCTTTTGATTTCTTGACTGCTGCTTCTGTGAGTGTTGATGGTTGATCCAGAAAGAATGAAGTCCTTGACAATTTCAATCTTGACAGCATGATGCCGTGGGGGTTGAGTGAGTTCTGACTCCCGGCATCTGGTACTGATCCTACAGCGCCACACCATGCCACGCGTTCGGTATGCTGCAGTAGTCTTACTTCTCAGTGGCGTACACCACTAAAGGTCTACCTGCTGATACTCACATTTCACACGCATCCAAGAGGCCTTTGGCTCTTTTCCCAGGAGGTGTACTTCCCTCCTTCCAGCCATGGCTGGACATGTGGCAGAGAACAGCGGGTACACACCGAGTCTTGAGGCTTCTGCTGCGAAGGGACATGTGTCATCCTTGCTGACGTCTCCTCACAGGAGAGTGGGAAGATGCCTAGGAGCCGGGAGGTATCCTCGCTGCATCATGAGAGCTGGAGAGACAATCTGTGACAGACAGGGTAACAGAGATAAATGTCAACAGAGACCACAAAAATGCAGGGGACCCTTCAAAGCTGTGAATAGGCTCAAACTGTAGTCAGAGAGATTTTTAACATCCAATGCAGCAAATGTAAAGGAACACTCGTATGTATGTTGCTACGTGAAATACTTAAGGACAAGGCTCTATGTTGCCCAGAAATCCAGTTGCTAAGGTGGGTATTCTATAAATTATAATGGGATCAAACTCAGGGTTGCCAACATCAATAAAAGTGATTTGTGTACCTTTCCTCGATATAGTCCCCAAAAGCTCTGCATTCATTACCTTATCACAGGTCTCTCCCAGCAGACCCCATAAGATGGTCTCCTCCAGGGTCAGAACTTGTCTCTGGAGATACAAAAGTGGACATGGTCCTGTTAGCTCAGGTGATGGGGAAGGCAACACACAAGAAGAGGGAGGCTGGCAGAAGAATGATGAAGACACAGGGGAATGCCAAGGGCTCAAGGGGAGACAGGTAAATAGGGATCTATACACAACCTTGGAACAACAGTGTTCTGTGTCTAGATACATGGACAGACACAGGCTGAGTGAGTCTGGGAGGAAAAGTGGATTATATATGTGTGTGTATTTTCATATAGTGGAATATATATGTAAAGGTGTATTTTCAAAGTAGGAAGTCATATGTTACATATGTCACTGAATCACATGTGTGTGTATATGTGTATATATACATACATATTTATTGATGTATGTATGTATACGTACATATTTGTGTATGTATGTATGTGTATGTATGTATATATATTTATCCCACAAATATATATGAGTTTGAAAAAAAGTATTTGTACATGGGTAGCCCCAGGGAGGAAGCAGGGCAGGCGCTGTTGCATGGAGGGGGTTGGATTCATTGAGGTGATACAAAGTGTATGATTTGTTGAATGTAAGACTGATGACCTTGTCTGTAAACTTTGACTGAATTCACAACTAAAAGATAAATGGCTGAGGGCTGCCGGTTACCTTCTGGGCCAAGTCATGCATGTTTCTGCTAAGTAAAAGCTCCAGAGTACACTTGTGTCTCGTAAGTTTTCAACCATCAGATACGGTTGGAGTTCATTCCCGCTGAAGCTTCAAAGTTCACGGTCAGCCTGCCTCATGAACTCTGCTGAAGCTGAGTGTCTCCCACTGTCAGACACGCGCGCCGCCTGCTCCAGCCAGGCCCACGCTCCGAAGAACCAAGCGTAGTTTGTGCGTTGACGTGAGGCCAATGGCTGAGGAAAGAACTTTGATGTGGCCTACCGGGGAAACGTCATACCAGAAGGGGCAACAGCCTGGGTAAGCCAGTAGAAGGCTGTACCCAGGGCAGGGGGCACAAAACCAAAACTACACGAGGGGCAGCTCAGAGGACAACCTTGAGGACAGGAGTGGGGAGTGGGAGGCCCATGTGTACGTTTGTTTCGTCACTCTAGTATGTAAGATGGGGTTTCCTGACTCCCAAAATCAGGGGTTTAAGAAGACATCCCTGTTCCATGAACACCCAGTGACGATACAACCAACAGACACACTTAGATAAAATGGTGTATTTTCTGAGTGGGAACAGTCATACGGTACAATAAAGTCACTGTGAATCTTCAACTACATAAATAATGCAATGTGTAGGGCAGCCCTCGGAGGCACAGAGGTCCATGTGTCTGGGGGCACAGCAGCCTTCCACTCCGCTTCCCGGGGCAATGGGCGCTCTGCTCAGCAGGGAAATGGCTTCTGCTGTCTGCACTGCCTCTTCCTTTCTTCTAGTAAGGAGACGACGTTCTGAACAAACACAACAAACAGGTGAAGGGAACCCAAGCTCCTGATGGGGGCTTCCATTTTCTCAGTACTACAGACTCAGCTCTGAAAGACAAACATCCAAACCTGTCTGTCGAAGACTCTCGCCATCTCTAAGACGCCTTTGCCGAACTGAAAGGGGAAATGACAGACACAGTGGTGATTTCTTTGTATACACACTCACACACACACACACTCACACACACACACACACTCACACACTCACACAAGGAGGCTTCAAGAAGTTTTAGGACATTGTCCATCCTCCATCAACTTTTGAAGCTCCCTTGTATATACACAAACTTGTA